CCAAAAAACGATGAAAGGCAATTACTGCTAGCTATCCAAGCTCTACAAAGTGACCCAAAGTTACGCCTTCGAGCTGTAGCTAGGACTTTTTCTGTGGACCACCGTAAGCTAGGTCGTCGATTACTAGGCATACCTTCACGACGCGATATCCAAGCCAACTCACGGAAATTGACAAATCTAGAGGAATCAGTCCTTGTTCAATACATACTTGACCTAGCTACAAAAGGATTTCCTCCTCAGTTGTCTATTGTTGAAGATATGGCAAATTGGCTACTTGCAACATGTGACGCGCCACGCGTCGGGTCACGTTGTGCTTCAAACTTTGTTAAGCGGCGTGTAGAGCTCCGGACATGCTTCCAGCGCAAATACGACTACCAGAGGGCTAAGTGCGAGGACCCAGAAGTCATCCATTGTTGGTTTGAGCTTCTACGCAACACAATTGCAAAATATGGCATCAATGAAGCAGATATCTACAACTTTGATGAGACTGGGTTTATGATGGGTGTTATCTCAACTGCTATGGTTGTGACAAGCTCAGACGGGCATACAAAAGCAAAGAAGGTACAGCCTGGCAATCGGGAATGGGTTACAGTAATCCAAGGTGTTAGTTCTCAAGGTTGGGCAGTGCTGCCATTTGTCATTGTTGCAGGCAAAAACCACCTTGCATCTTGGTATGAGAACAGTGGATTTCCAAGCGATTGGGTAATTGCTGTTACAGAAAATGGCTGGACTACAAACGAGAGAGGCATGGATTGGATTCAGCATTTTGAGAAGCATACAAAGACCCGGAGTGTTGGTGGTTATCGCCTCTTAGTCCTTGATGGTCATGAGAGCCACCACTCAGATGAGTTTGAGGAATACTGCAAGGAACACAACATATTACGCTTTGTATACCTGCTCACTCTTCCCATATACTCCAGCCACTTGATGTTGGCTGTTTTGGCCCATTAAAGAAGGCTTACGGTCAGCAAATTGAAGTATGATGCGGGCTCATATTATTCACATTACTAAGAATGACTTCTTTCCTGCCTTCCACGCTGCATTTAACACTGCAATGACTGAAAGCAACATTCAGGGCAGGTTCCGAGGAGCAGGGCTTCTTCCATTCGACCCTGAGAGAGTGATATCTGCACTTGATCTTAAGTTAAAGACACCAACACCTCAAAGCTCCCGCCCGGGTACTGCTCAACGTTGGGTTTCCCAAACACCAAATAACCCAATTGAAGCCTCATCACAGTCTACCTTCATTAAAAACCGAATTGCGCATCATCAGAATAGCTCTCCAACCTCAATCTATGCAGCTGTCGAGCAGTTTACAAAGGGTGCATCGCAAATAATGCATCAATTAGCATTGTTAAAGGCAGAGAACCAGAACCTCCGACAGGCAAATGAAGTAATAAGCAAGCGCCGGAGGGCTAAAAAAAACACGTCTACAGCAAGGAGGATCACTTACTCAACAGGATGCGCAGGGTCTACAGGATGAGAGGGATGTTGTCCAGCAAGTAGAGCAGGAAATAAGGGCGAGCAGTGGTCGCAAGCCAAGGGAAGAAATGCATGCACGCCGCTGTGGGAAGTGTGGAGAGACTGGATACAATGCGCGCACTTGTCAGATTGTAATAGACATGTCTGAGGAAGAGGACTCCGAGTAGTTTCAATTGATTTCTAGTGTCATGGTGGATTTTATCGTAATTTTTGTTGCGGGGGTAGATAATTTTGGCCGGTTCGCTTGTTTGGCTGGTTCGTTATACATGTACGTTACTTCTTCTACAGCTTCTATAGCTTTATACTCATCTTGTTGTGTATAATGTAGCTTACTTAGCCCTATTTTTTTTAAATGAGGGTCTAGTAGTAAAGCTATAAATAAAGGTTTATTCTTCTCTTCTGTCATACTGACATTCGTTGCACTCAGTTTGCTATCAAACTCAAGAGCAAACTTAGAAATCTCCTCCTCAAAACTACAAGTCACTATATATATTTTGGCTTGTCACACCAACAACAAGAGCAATACTACTCAACGATTGCTACAACCCTCTATGATTCATTACACGTCATTGCTCCTTAGTTACTGGGCCGATATGACCACATAGCATATCTCTACAACCCTCTATGATTCATTACATGACATCACTCCTTAGTTACTGGGCTAATACTACACATGACATATCTCTATCAACTAGAGGCCTAGGAACATGAACGATAGCTCCAAAAGCTTCTACAACTGTCTATGATTCATTACATGTCATCGCTCCTTAGTTACCCACAAGATTGGTTAAGTTATGACATAATTTGTCTATAGGGGTACTCTGACCTTGGACCTCCTTTCACTTCCTATAGGCTAGGAACCTAGGAGATGGTTCTATGGGATTCTCTTACGTCGACTACAGTTACCAAGCCTGGTTAGTCATGGAAAGTCTTGGAAAATGAGAGAACTACACTCCTTTTAGCATAAATAGGATTGCCCTTTCCTTAAGAAAGGGCAAGCAGACAATACAGTAAATCGTCTATCACATACTTCCACGTCTTTTCCAAGCTTCCAAGCATTGATCTTGTTACTCCTTGTTTCTGAAAAGTCAGTGAGGTGCTAACCTCTGACTTATCCCTGAGTTCTCAGACTCAACATTTGTTACAACTTGTCTAAACCACTCCACTACATCATACACCTGATTGCTGCGTTGTGGAATAGTCTAAGCTACGACCCTTTGGCTCTTTTTGCTAAGACAGTGTGTTGTCTTAGTAAAATCATCCCTTCCTTGGGTGGCTAGATTCTCACATCTGGTGCACCCACCATTACACTTGTCTGCTGCCATTTTCGAAAAAACATCCAAAAATTCATGAAATTCCTTTGGAAGGATCAGTTGAGGGTCAATTTCTTCAGTTTTGGTCTTGTTCTTGTGCTCGATTAGTATAGCAAAGACTTGAGCTCCTTTTTGCTTCATGAGCATTCGAAATGGTGCTGCGCCAATCATTGCTATGGTGCAAGGTTTTTGTTTTTCCACTTTCAGAGCAGGTTCCGGAGGAGGCATTTCTTTGGCTTTCTTCTTTGGCCTTTGTCTTTTGCTTTTCGATATAGGCCCTGTTTCGAGGGCTCGATCTGGTATAGAATGGTTGCAATAATCTCCAGTGAAGAGGACTTGATCATTGATCATATCAAGAACAACTCCATGTTGCTTCATCCAAGCTTTCCCGAGAATGATGGCATGTTTTCCTAGCAAAGTGATGAATAATGGACATAGGCTTTCCGCATGCTCTCCCACTTGTAGTCGAGGATATATAGCATGTGTGATAGCAGGCAGCCTCTCCATTGAATCCTTCAACTTGTTTTGACTTCACAAGTTCGACTGGGGCTATCCCTTCAATTTCACATATTCTTTCTGCATCAGCAGCATTAATGAAGTTCCCACCTGTGGCACCAGTATCGATCAATGCATGGACAATAGTTTTGTATTTTCCCATTCTACAAATAACTAAGAAAGGGGTGTCCGGATCAAAACTAGATCTCGAGGAAGAAGCTGCAATTCTGGCTGCACTACTTCTAGTGATGACTTGTCTAGAGGCTATTTTTTCTGAATCAATGATAGACTCAGCTGTAGATACCTCATTCACTTGAGCTTTGAGCTTCTGGGGACAGTCTCGAGCTCGATGTCCATTTTGTTGGCATATGAAGCATTTCCCAAGTTTCATGAGCATTTCCTTTGCTGGATCTTGATGCGGTGGTCGATACAGCTTCTGTGTCTTGTTTTGCATGTTCGAATCCACTGTAGGTTGAGAGACTGAAGTTCAAAGTGCCTGGCCCTGATTTTGAGTTTGGCCCATGTTGTTCGGAAATGACTTTGGCTTCCTTTTGTCTTCTTGTTCCTTGATCCACTGGATGTTCTGGTCGATGAGCATGCATTTGTTTGCAAACTCGTGAAGTGTAGTAGCTCCAACTTCAGCCACTAAGGCTTTCTGCATCTGTTGGTTGACTTTGAAGCGCAAGTCATCTAGCAAAGTTTCTTCAGAGTAATCAAGCTCTGTCGTGAGCCTTTGGAACTCGGCCCAGAACACTGCAAAGGTGTTGTTTCTCTGATACAGCTTCCGATACTCAGTTTGAGCTGTGTGCCTTCGATCGGGATCACTGAAGGCTTTTTCCAAAAGTTCAAGAATCTCTTCTGCTGACTGCAGTTTGTTTGTAGAGTTTGGTCGAGGCCTTGGATTGACATGTCGAATTGCCAGTCCTCCCAGTCGACTCTTAATGTAGCTCATTTGTAAAGTCTGTGTTGGAAAATGATCAATGTTGGCTTCGAGCTTGAGGCGAATGTAATGGTGGGTGCACCAGATGTGAGAATCTAGCCACCCAAGGAAGGGATGAATTTACTAAGACAACACACTGTCTTAGAAAACAGAGCCAAAGGGTCGTAGCTTAGACTATTCCACAATGCAGCAATCAGGTGTGTGATGTAGTGAAGTGGTTCAGACAAGTTGTAACAAATGTTGAGTCTGGGAACTCAGGGGTAAGTCAGAGGTTAACACCTCACTGACTTTTCAGAAACAAGGAGTAACAAGATGAATGCTTGGAAGCTTAGAAAAGACGTGGAAGTATGTGATAGTCGATTTACTGTATTGTCTGCTTGCCCTTTCTTAAGGAAAGGGCAATCCTATTTATGCTAAAGGAGTGTAGTTCTCTCATTTTCCAAGACTTTCCATGACTAACCAGGCTTGGTAACTGTAGTCGACGTAAGAGAATCCCATAGAACCATCTCCTAGGTTCCTAGCCTATAGGAAGTGAAAGGAGGTCCAAGGTCAGAGTACCCCTATAGACAAATTATGTCATAGACAAATTATGTCATAACTTAACCAATCTTGTGGGTAACTAAAGAGCGATGACGTGTAATGAATCATAGAGGTTCGTAGGAGCTTTTAGAGCTATCGTTCATGCTCCTAGGCCTCTAGTTGGTAGAGATATGTCATGTGGTAGTATGAGTGATGTCATGTAATGAATCATAGAGGGTTGTAGAGATATGCTATGTGGTAATATCGGCCCAGTAACTAAGGAGCGATGACGTGTAATGAATCATAGATGGTTGTAGCAATCGTTGAGTAGTATTGCTCTTGTTGTTGGTGTGATAAGCCAAAATATGTATAGTGACTTGTAGGTTTGAGGAGGAGATTTCAAGTTTGCTCTTGAGTTTGATAGCAAACTGAGTGCAACGAATGTCAGTATGACAGTGAATTTTCACAACCCAGTCTTCAAATGCTGGCTCTATCCCATCTGTGAGGATTGGAGGGTCTGGAATCCGAGCTGACAGTCGACTGTGAGAGTGGTGTCCTGGTTCATTCTTCAGAGCTTGTTGGGTTTGCTTTTCAAGATATTTCTGAATTGTTTGTTGCTCTGTGATTTGTTGCTCGTTGCTCTGGATCAGTTCCTGTAACTGGAGAATGGCATCATCCTTTTCAGCCAGTATCGAATTTGAGTCCTCTGCTAGGGCCAAATAGTCCTGAAGAATGTTCTTGTGCAAAGTCCATGCCATTTTCTGGTTGGTGACAGATAGTTTCTGGAATTCGTCAAAGGTTTCAACATTCCATTCAGCCTTTTCATGTTGATTTGCAAGTATAGATTCACGTCTCTCTTGAGCTGTTTTGCCCAGAGTGTGAAGGAAGGTTTCAGATTTGAAATTAGGATCATGAAGTTCATCAGTTTGGTTTGCAGAACTCGGAATTGATGCTCCTTCTGCCAGGGATTCCTGGTCTTGTTCTGGATCATTTCGAGCTGCCATTGCAGCTTTCTCTTCAGCGGTATCAGCCATAGCGAGTTGCTATTCCAATTTCAGTTCATATAGTCAAGCCAGACACATATTGCCAAAGGCCCTATTGTGCAGTTGTCGGCTGTAGGAGCCACTCGAGAGGAGTGCATTTCCCTCACAGTTATATCCTTGTTGAGGGAATGTTGTAAAAGGTCTGACTTGCGAAGGTGGTGTGTGTGTGTCGAGCTGACTGTCGAGAGCCAACTTTGAGGGGTTGCCGCAAGATCGTCCTGGAATTGACTTCAGGATAAGGTTTCTGGTTTTGGGGTTTCCAAAGAGTGGATTTCAATTTCGATTTCAGAAGAGGGTTCAGCTCGAAGAGCAGGAAAAGAGGTATAAGAGAGATTGAGTTTTATGTCATGGTTCACCAAGGCATAGGGCGCCAGTTGGGTATTATGAATTAAACTCAATCTAGAGAGGAAGGAAAGAGAAGAGGAGCACTCGAGCAGTGGCTCGATCTATATATTTAGCTAGACCAGTTCTGAGAATTCACTCCACAACTGAAAACTTCGCTCCAACCCCGGAAAGCTCCCCACACCCCTGAACCCCTACTCTAGCTGCAAGGCGCACTTGATATCGTAACACATCCGACGCCAGTTGGCCGTATGCAGCGACGGTATATCAGCACCTGCACATGCTCTCCTCAGGCAGGCCGTGACAGCTCCATCGGACCACACACCACCAGTCTTCGCCCACAGGTACGGACTTATCAGGGCCTTTGGCTTTTGCTGCCAGAGGAATATCTGCCGGAGAGGGATGACGTATGCAATGTAGTCGAGGAGCTACATGAATATTTAGGTGTAGCGTGCTAAGAGTACCAGCGATGACGCAGCATCTATGGTAGCTTCGGCCTCTTATCGTTTATGTAGAACACCTCTTCCGATACTCAGTAGCATCCTCTTTTCTCTAAACTCTACCCAACTCCCTCGAACTCCAATGAACATATAGTATTAACATTGCCATTGACCGTCACGAGTGCAGTTGGTTTTAATTTTAGCCTGCTGTTAAAACCAAAGCTATTGCGATGGCCTCACATCCCGACGAGAAAAGGCACATTGTCATTATAGGTGCGCTCTAGCTTGCGAAGCCCATCACAAATCAATGTTTCTAACAAACGTGATGACAAGGTGGTGGCATCATTGGATGTACAAGGTGAGCTTGTCTTAAATGGGAACATGCTTGCGCAGCTGCTAACTAAAGCTCAACAGGTACGAAATACGTAACCAACCGACGGCTATATCTAGACGCTCATGAATCCAGTGCATACTTCCTCACTCGCCATCCGTCCTTTAACCCGAAACTTCACTCTATCACAATCCTCGAGGCTACAGCTATCGCAGCTGGCGCATCCGGCAAAGCAGGAGGCCTCTTGGCTCTGTGGGCATACCCTCCAAGCATTGTCCCGCTGTCGTTCCGTCTCCACGCCGAGCTAGCTGCTGAACACGACGGCGCGAAGAGATGGGGTTACAGATCTGTACAAGCGGGATCGATTAGAGCAAAGGTCCACCCCGACCGATTGGAAATACCGAAGGCGGATAGCGGTACGGGATCAGCGGAATGGAAGAAGCTTCCAAAGCAGGATGAAGCGAGCCTCAAGTCACTGCAGAAGAAGGGAATACCGGAAGACCTGGACTGGTTCATTGCCGAGGGACTGGCGGAGTATTCTTCAATAGGCGACGCGGATGCAACTGCGCAAGTCTACCCATACCAGTTTACAACCTCCATGGCAGAGCTGGCACAGGAGAAAGGTGCTGAAGTCAAAGTTGGCGCACACGTTGACTCGATCGACTATACAGGCGGGCACGTAAAGAGTGTCACATACATGGACAGACAAACAAAACAGATTCATACCATTTTGGCAACAGATATAGTCGTTTCTGCAGGACCGTGGAGCAGCCACATATTCCCTGACGTTGCGGTTGACGCATTAAGAGCACACTCCGTCACAATTAATGCACATGTAACTCCTTACGTCCTCTTCACCGACATCGAGCTGCCGAAAGATTTTGGAGCCAAGGATGGCAAGAAGCGCAAGCATGGGAGAAGAGTTAATCCGGAGGTATATGCTCGCCCGAATGGCGAGGTATATGCATGCGGTACGTACATAGCAAATCCCCCTCGAGTTGCATCAAGGCAAAGCAGTATCCGTGAGTGGCAACCGCTGACTGCGTTGCAGGAGAAGGCGATGAGCTTATTCCCCTCCCCTCCACAGCCGACCTCGTGCAGTGTGATCCCTCCCGCTGCCAAGATGTGGTCGACTACGTCTCCTCCATCAGTGATGAGCTACGCACAGGCGAGGTCACTGCCAAACAAGCATGTTACCTCCCTTCTATACCTGGTAGTAGTAGTCCGGTAATTGGCGGAGCAGGGATCAAGGGGATGGTGGTGGCGACGGGGCATTCGTGCTGGGGCATCCAGAATTCGTGTGCGACTGGTAAACTAGTGAGCGAGTTTGTGTTTGAGGGAGAGGCGAAGAGTGCACAGGTTGGGGCGATGGACCCGAAATTTTACATGTAAGATGGGAGTTTGACAACGAAAGGTTATAGCTATATAATTTATGACTAAATGTAAGCACATGATTGTTTAAGGGGAGGTGGGGGGTTGGTGATTTAGAAGTCCGGGTTGAAATATAAGCTAGAGCATATAGGAGAACATACTAAGAACTAGTAAAGGTATGAGAGATGCGAGAGACTTAGTGTATTGTAATAATGAGGCAAGTTTAATAAGATATTATCAGTCATTTTATAAATGGGGGGGAGTCTATTCCTTGATACCCAATTTCACGTCAGCTTATATACCTGGTCGTATATCCCATTAATGGCGCAAGATCGAGATCTGTACCTTAAGAAGTATATGAGCTGTCACTAGAGATTAAATATTTCACCATTACTAATAATTAAACAGTTGCAACTAAAAATGTTAGACTGACACAGGTTTTATTGATATCATCACGTGATAGAATTATGTTTTTGATTCTGTTGGAGGTAATTCTGGAATACGGGGAGCCACACACAAATTCGTGTGATAATCTCCGGCAACCGTAATCAGTCTCTTCGGGCAACGGAGCAGAAGCTTCACAGTAGAATACAGTAAAGTAGAGTATATAGATCGATTGAATTACTACCTAAGCTGCGGGCCTACGTACGCTACTTGTAGGCCTGGGGGAAACCCCCGAAACCCTGACAAGCTGAGCTTTCCGGGCTCAGCTGGGCTTGGGTCAGTGGCTCCAATAGTATGGCGCCACTGTCTCACCCGTAAACCAGCCGGGAAGTTGGACGGTCTTACGGGGATTACCCGTCATTTTGGGCGTAAAAGCCCACCATATCCCACGGGAATGTCCGTTTTCCCCAACAGATTCACGTCAGTATTAAAAGATTAGATAAGATCACAGCAACAGAACAACCCCACACTGAACTGATTGACTCCTTGCTCCTTCCTCATGTGTATCGAGTATCGCCTTGACGACTCCACCGTCAAGGGTTCCTGGGCAAGCTATAGTATGGCGCTTGCTTACCGTATAATTGACTACAGCCACAGAATATAAGGTACTTAAGTGCCGGCCAACATGTGACTGAAGGCATCGCACACAGCAAACTACTGCGCCTATTCACCGCGCTTCTATGTGGGCTTCGATCTAGGCATGTAACGTTGCTCGACTACACGGTCCAAACACCCCCGTTATCAGGACACCAGACCGTCTATAAGGTTATCAATACATAGACAGCACCCGGACATCCTCATGATATCCTATCTATGTGGGCTCGTGCAGCGGGGATTATCTCAAGAGACTACCGGGCTACAACGAAAACGCGATTGTGACAGCTGAAGTGTCTTATAAGCGGCGAGGTTTGGTGGTACGGAGTGAAAGGTGGGGGAACTAGACGGAGATCAGGAACGCCTATGGAGGAATGGGCATAGTGGGCGACAATCGAGTGGGCGACAATCGACTGACTTTGGACTGATGACAGGCATGGGAGGGAGCCTCTCGAAGCCAGGCGGATTAGGTACGCTTTTATCGATGAAGCATGTTTAGTTAGTAGCTGCAACTATTGTCCACGTCTATTGCCCTTGCACCAGCCACAGTAGGCTTCCTATTGAATATCAGAGAGTTGCGCCGCCATCTTGGCTGTTGAAATATTGAAGATAGACGTTTGGAAAGATATGATGTTAACATCAAAGGGGGTGGATATTTATTTTCCGACTCGAGGTTGAATAGGACAAAGAATAGTGGTCAACAAAGAATACCGATAATGAACTGACGAATTAGGCAATAACAATCCCCAAGGTATAGTACTTTCAGGTCCGTGCGAGGAAGGCGCGGTAACGTAAGTCATGGCGTAAGTGTTCTAGTGGCCTATTTCGTGAGGACTACCAACTTCAAACTCAAATTATCACATCGCATCATTTCGCAGTGGATCTGTTTATCGCAAGGTTGAACTGAAACAGATCGCAAGATCGCTGTCTCCGCGTATGTGTTGAATTGTTTTGACATTGGACGAAATCATTTGGTCACGCTGGAGAACAGCTAGGTGAGTGACTCCATTCACAAGCCGGGGAATAAGGTAGAACTTAAGTGCAAGATCTCGCTGATGGAGACAAGTTTCTCTTTGGCTTTACCTACGAAACAGGGCCTAAAAGGGAGGCTTGCTGGAACAAGACAAACTCCATGAAAATTCCATCATTTTGTGATAGGCATCGGCCTGACACCCGTGGATGGAGTTGTCCCTATTCGTATTTGACATGTGTCGACTTCATATGGCAGGTAGAAGACCACGTTTAAACCGTACAATATGTGACTCGTTGCCGACATAACAATATGTGTAGCCCACTGACCACCTCCACCTGTTCATGTAAACTTTCCAGGGGTGCTTCTCTCAAGAGCATAGTGCATAGGTATCGTGAGCAAGAATCAATGCTTGAAGCAAAACGCAGGTCTATAGAAACCTACACGTAATACGACCATCATTCCCACGGCCGTTACACTCCAACTGGCCGTACTTCGCGAGTCCCGTGCCCCTTCTCAAGACGATGATGCGCTATACAACCATGACGCCAACACCGACCTGGCGATGTAATTCCAGACTGTAGCATCTGGTGAGCTGCAATCAATCAATATGGTGGCAAATCACCCCGCCCCTTAACCCACACCTCGTTGTCACAGACGTGTTTGCAAAACCTGTCTTCCCCACGTTCAGCTTCCCCAGACCCACTGCATGAGATCCTCGACCGTGTTTTTCACCCTTCATCCGCTACTGCATGTAGCCCTCCTTCGTCCCCCAGACCGCCGGCCTGTCCAACCGAATAGTGCGGGGAAGCGTACAGTACGTGGCTATACACACGACAAATAAGTATACAGACTTGAGGCTTGGTACAGCTTACTCTCTGTACTTCCAGACGCGGGAGGGAAATGTGTCGAGGGCGAAGCAGGTTACCCACTTGACAGTGTTGCTGCTGGCGTATCAGACTTGATAGGTTACGGCACGTAAATTGCATCCACTTGGATAGGCGAGGAGCCGAATCAGACCCTCTGTCAACGTGAGATTTTCCCCAGGCAGAATTCAGAGTCTTTGCCGCCCAAGGTGGGATCGATCGTCTCTCGCCTCCAGGGATGGGCAGTTTAGCCGTCCTGAAGGGAAGGAGGAGAAGATATGGCGCACCGCCTCCTCCTATTTTCAGGGCGGGGTGTTCGGCAAGAACCGGCCGACAACGAATATCCACCTTCCTTCTTCGAACGACCCGTGCAGATGCACGTTCCAACCCAAAAAAAAAGCAACTCCTTCCACAAGCCAAAATAGTGTTCTTATCATGCAATCCCTCTAGGTCAACAAGATGCGAGAGAGAAAATCCCGCATCTTAGATGTCTGTCTCACACCCCACGCGTCTTTGACAGAGCGTCGTCGACGAGCTAGAAAGTTCTGCAGATCAGGTACACCGATCGGCACCGTCCTGCCAACCGCCAAGTTACTTGTCGCTAACCTGGTTGCTAGAGTGGGATCGGGGTGGCTGGCTTGGGTCAAGAGCCAAGCACCTGCGAGCCCCTAGATGTGGTGATAAGAGGAGGGAAGATGATGCTCGATAGACAGAACGGCTGAAGGGGAGCAACAACCATGACAACAGCAAAGATAGGTGCTTGTATACTATAATACGCCGAAGCGCACTTACTAGTCGGTGGTATACGGTTGAGTGATGAGACTTGACTGGTTGAAAATGAGACGAACGACGATGAGATCTTGACCGCAAACCGCCGACCTCCGATCAAGAGAATACTGGAATCAATGTACAAGCCACAGACCACCTGCACAACATCTGCGCACCAACTTCTCTTCTCGTACTGTGCTCCGACCCTGTATGCGCATACTCGCTCGGCCTCGCTAGCATGTGAAAGTGTATACTGACTGCACACTTTTGATACTGCACAAATACTATATGAAGTATGTAGAGGAAAGCATCTGACAGATCGATAGCTTATGGTCCAGCGTATTGTGTAGGTGTGACAGGACCTGGTATCTGTTGGAGATTCCGGGGAAATCCCGGGATTCGCCAAGGAATGCCCTGTTTTGGGAGCGTTTTCCAAGGGTATCTCATTGGCCTGCTGGGCCGCAGTTATCGCTATGACCAACTGCCGTGGGGGTAAGCCAAAGCTCAGGGTTTCGGCTACTCCCCAGGAATCACCTATATAAGCTACGTAGAACGGTGAGATATCTAGATAATTCAATTGACTCTATTATATTGCTATATACTGTATTCTGCTTTGCTTTCTCAACTGCAGCGCCGTTCGCGGCTGCCACGCATTACATTCTCTTCTCGTGACATTTTCCTCTAATGCCCATGCCCATGCCGCCCATGCCCATGCCCATGCCCGCCCAATCCCAATCCCAATCCCAATCCCAATCCCAATCCCAATCCCAATCCCAATCCCAATCCCAATCCCAATCCCAATCCCAATCCCAATCCCAATCCCAATCCCAATCCCAATCCCAATCCCAATCCCAATCCCAATCCCAATCCCAATCCCAATCCCAATCCCAATCCCAATCCCAATCCCAATCCCAATCCCAATCCCAATCCCAATCCCAATCCCACAATCCCAAGCGACCGACCCACGGCAAAGTGACATGGGAAGAAGAATGAAATGTGTCTGTTTTGGCCGGTTTGTGGTTTGTTGGTGCATCTCTGTTCTGTCGACCACTGCCAAGAAGAGTGATTAGGGTGGCCGGAGAATCCCATACGATTTTGGGTGTAAATCTCCGGATCCACGAATCAGCTCCAATAGTATCCCCTGTACTCTACCTGTCAGCGAGCGGTACCCTAAAGTATGGTACAATACTCCCCCCCCAACCCCCTAACTGACCCCCCCTAACTGACCCTTCCCCCCCCAACGCTCTCGCCAAGCCCCGCCATCACTGCAATACCCCTACAACCCCAGCGCCACTTTGGACGGGTAAGTCGATCTCGCAGTTGTTCCGCCCACCACCCACCACCACCAGATCACCACGAGCGCGGCCTTTCTAGTGGCCTCGGTCTTATTATTTCAAATCTGATGTAGAGTAGCAGTCCCAGCCAACGCAGCGCAACAGTGCAGCATCCACTCGGGGCTGACGCACAAGACAGCTGTCCACTACCAAAATACGTTCGATATCTCGCTATCTCGATGGTATTTACGGCACCCGAGCTATCGACTTGACGGATTATGACTGTAGAGCACTGTATAGTACTATAGAATCCATACGGCCCCTCCCTACACCACCCCCTTAATCTTTTGTTCACCGTCTCCAACACTAGACTATCCCCAGCAAAGGCATGTAACGTTCCCAGAGTACAAGGTCCGTCTGGGATGATTCGGCGATGGTTCTAGGGTTTATTCGGGGGTCTTTCTAGTCGCTCTGTAAGTATCGCCATGTACCTAGCGCTCAGTTGTTACTATATCTATGCTGAATAGTCCTCTATAATGGCCTATAATGGCTGCAGCAGGAGCGAAGGAGACTTGATGAGACCTTGGACCACCACATGCGACAGGCAAGTACTCGCTGTGACGTCTATCGGTATATCACGTACCATGGCACGTACTCGACTTTGCTACACGGTATGGTACAAGTGCTGGACTTGCGCGATAGACTGTCATCTCTCCTTGTCCATGCATGGATCACCTATCTGTCAATCATGGCGCAGCCGCACCCCCCATCGCGCAGAACCAGCAGGCACAGTAGCGCGACGTGATGATGACACTATCTGATCAAAAGCGCCGAGATCGAACGGCGGTCGCGGTTATGGTTTCGGCGTCCGGCGGACTGCTGGAATCAATCTCAAACCCACCAACCAGTGCTCAGGAAATAGTGAAACTGTCAATTGCCAGCCCGTCTCCCAAGCCGGCCAGAACAGACCAGGACCGCGCCTCCCTCGCGGTGCTCCCCCGTGGTCCATCTGGCGGTCGATTCCGCACATCCCTCCACCGCTGACGCTGACATACGTACAAAGTACAAAGGAAGGCAGTACAGTACTGTACAGTAGCGTGCGTCGGGGAAAGAGGGTACTGGTGCTCGGTTGCGTGGGCGGCTGGAGCCAAAGATGGGAGATGGCGCTCGAGGACGCGGGGACAACGGAGCGGCGAGGACGAGGACTGCTTCCAACGTCAGCTTGTCCGAACAAAGCATCGACTGAGAGCACGGCATGATTCAGAGAAGGATTTCTTGTCCTCCCTCCCTCCCATCCCCCATCCTCTTGAATCGGGGGCAATTGCCTTGGAGCGGCGGTCAGCGGGGGTGGGGATGGCTCGGCGAGGACAGGATGGGCTCACAGCCTTCGGTGCCTCTTCTAGCGCCGACCTAGTCGTTGAACCTGTTGAACCTGTTGAACCTGTTGAACCTGTTGAACCTGTTGAACCTGTTGAACCTGTTGAACCTGTTGAACCTGTTGAACCGGTGGAACTCGTCGGACTTGCCCTGATGCCCCCCCACTCCAACCACCTCGTAAGCAGTTGTGTGTGCATAAACTCCACGCAGCTGCCGCTCTAAAAGGCTTGATCAGAATCCTCATACTCTATTCTCCGTGCCCTCTACTCACTCTATGCGCTGATACAGCTGGTCCCTTACTGTCCGGTACCGACTGTGCACATGGCAAGTTGAGTTTTCACTCCGAACGGATTACTTTGTTGGTACGGAAAGCACCATGTGCATTCCGTAGCGCGTACATGGATCCCATGTTAACTGCCAGTTACAGGGACAAACACAGCGACGCCATCCAAAACACTAACTATATACTGACTATATACTGGCAATCTACTAACTATATACTACTATATACTGACTATAGACTGACTATATACAGTACACACTAATATCTTCACTTCAACCGCACCAGTGCCCCATCAAATGCCGCCCCCGTCTCATACACCGACGCCACCATCAACACCCCCTATGTACCGTGGTACGCCCGGGACTCTCTAGTACGCTGCCGCCGCATATAATATCCCGAACTCAACTATACCTATAACCCTACCCATACCCCTACCCCAACCCCAAAAATCTAATCGTCGCTCCCTCCTCTCAACGCCCACTTTCTTCATATCCCTCTCCTGCAATTGGCCCCTCCCACTTGACACTCGACTTGCTCCAGACAAGCTACCTAGCCAGCCCTGTTGAACCGCTCCCCCTCCCTCAGATGCATTTCTGATCAAGAGAAAGGCAAATCCCCTCCCCTCCCCTCCCCTCCCCTCCCCTCCCCTCCCCCTCCCTCCCTCCCTCCCTCCCTCCCTCCTCCCACTCTCCACTAAACGACTCGGGTTTATCAGTCCCCCATATACACCTGTCTCCTGTCTCCTTACAGCGCTCCACTCCCATCCTTCATCCCCCCACACACACCAGACAAGCAACCTGGCTCCAGCGGCGAGCTACTACTATCTATCTATGGTCCATTTCTACATCTCCTCTGATTCAACGGAGATTCCCTTCATATTTCGTCATTGGCACTCCCATATACAGCCCAATGCCCGCATACACCACCTGACTGACCGCCTGTCCTTCCTCACTCTTCCCTCGTTCCTTCCTCAGAGAACGATCGTATATGTGAAGCATTCACCACGACCAAAGCTACTGCCGAGCGACCTGACAACCCCAACATCCCATTCTCCGAATTGATGCACCACATTTAGGCACTACCTTTAGCCAAACATGACGGTGCCGCTCCCATGTCCGCCAACAACTTCAGCGGCCTGTGACGCCGCTCCCCGCAAACGAAGGAGAAGAGCTCCCGCCAGCGGCGCCGCCGACGACTGCTTCGCCTGTCATAAACGCAACGCGAAATGCGACCGCCGCCGACCGTACTGCTCGCCGTGCCTGGAAATTGGCAACGACTGCTCGGGCTACAAGACGCAGCTGACGTGGGGAGTCGGGGTTGCCAGCCGTGGCAAGCTCCGTGGCCTGTCTTTGCCCGTCGCCAAATCTGCGCCAGCTGTCAAGAGCCCGCCGACGAGAAGCCACACGCGGCCACGAGCTACGTCCTCCCTCAACCGGTTGGCGGTTGAAGGCCATGCTGGGGACGATGATATCGAAATCAAGACAGAGAGAGAAGTTTTTCGGTTGGCCTCGGCGTATACAAGCTACGACTTCGTGCACATGAACCCCAAGTCCCCGAACCTGCTGCACTCCCCGGGTCCTAACTCGGATTGGAGCTCGTCCCAGGAGCACCTTCACGTGAGGAGTGCCACCCCAGCCGAAAACCAGGGACATCTTCTTCGAAACTCACTGCACCGTCTTCAGCCGCCCATGATCAGCTACGGCGATGACTTGCTATCTCCATCCAGTGCCTCGTTCAGCGCGTATAGTGAGGCCGAATACTCTCCCATTACCCAGCCATTTCACGTGGAGGATGTGCCCTATCTGAATAACCAAATGAGCATGTATGACAGCTACCCACAGAGTTCATCAATGGACCACGGCTCCCTGTATGGGACGTCTGCAGACCACCGAGGGCCGACTTCTTGCCCGGACATGTTTTATCCTCACTCGGACGTCAGCTCAAGCCTCAACTCCCACCCAGCATTGTTCGACATCTCCGAGAGTCGACGGTTGGCTACGTCGCCAGGCCTGTGCAATGTCTCTGACGCAGACTATGACGAGGACGTACTTGGTGAGTTTCCCGTACCAGCACGAAAAGATAGAGTGCTAACCTTGCAGGCATGTCTCATTCTCATAGCTCTGAGCAATTCATGCCAGGCTCTCACATTAGCAAAAGCTCGTGGACATCGGTCCAGGACGATGACTATACGCGGCAGCACCAAGATCTCACGAATCGCATACCAGAGTCCCTCAATATTGGGCTCCTACCAGATGTATCCCCGCGGCTGAACTTCTACCTGAATTACTACGAGAAGATTATCTGCCCCGTAACCGTGGCAATCGATAGCCCGAGCAATCCGTATAGGCAGCACATTTTGAGCCTCGCGACAGAAAGCCAAAGCTTACAGCATGCAATCTGCGCACTCGCCTCGTGCAATCTCCGGATGAGGAGGAAGCAGAGCCTTGGCCAGCACAGTTGGAATCAGTCATCTGAAGAGAGACAAGATTTCACGGGGTCATATAACATCCGACGGCCATTAAATACATCTAGCGCGTCCGAAACGCCATTAGACGACGCTTCTATACAAGAGGAGTATCACCACCGTAGTCTCGCTGTTTCTCTTCTCAATGCGCAGCTCTTAAGCCCGTCCCTCGCAAAACACGATGCGGTTCTCGCAACGCTCCTAATGCTTTGCCACTATCGCATGTGCGAAACTGGCATCGCACAGTTCAGGACCCAGTTCGCCGGCGTGAAGAAGCTACTCGGTATGCGCTCCTCGGGTGTTCAGACGGGCAACTGGGGTTGGATGGAGAGCATCTTTACGTTCTTCGACGCTATTACCGCGACCGTTAATGATCGTGAGGCTCAGCTCCACGGGGGCTATCTTGATATGATCGCCTCTCCCTGGACCTCTTCATGCGCACTCGAGAACCTCGCGGGGTGCGACGGAAAGCTCTTCGCCACCATCGCCAGCCTCGGCCGACTCAACCTCCTCGCACAGAATCGACCAGTTCTCGACCCCCTCCAAAGCACTCATACCCCACCGACCCTGAACCCACCCCCGCAGACCTCAGCTCCAATCCTTACGGAATTCTACAAGCAATACGCACAGCAATTCCCCTCGTCCACAAGTACCTCATACATTGAACCTCCACCCAACCCGCCTCCCTCCTCCGACCCACGCATCCAGTTCTGGACAGAGTGGCGCACGACACGCCACGCGCTGCAGACGTGGACTTTCTCCCCCTCCACCTTGCTCACATCGCTGCACCCGCTTGTCCCTTCTCCGAATCAGATACGCGACTTTGGATACGTCTCAGAGGCCTTCCGCCACGCGGCCCTACTATATACCGAGCGCCTTGCCGCGCCACATCTGCCTACTGGGCACATTACTATGCAGCAGCATGTGAGCCAGGTGCTTTTCTACGTTACGAGTCTTGGGGAAGGAGCAGGGGAGGGGTGTGATGCAATGGGGAAGTTCTTGTTGTGGCCGCTGTTTATCGCGGGAAGTGAAGCGGTTGGGGAAGTGGAGCGCAATGTGGTGCGTGAGAGATGCAGAGGCATTGCGAGGAGAGGCGGATATGGGAATAACCACGCTGGGCTAGAAGTGCTCGAGCGCATTTGGGGGGAGAGTGAGGGACTGACGAGACACGAGGTGTTTGCATGGGAGAAGTGGATGAGGGAGATTGATGGAGAGTTCATCGTGGTCTAACCTCAGCCATCGAAGCTTGCGGGATTCATCGGTCCACGTTGTGACGGCCTACATACAAAAAGGGTAGACGAAACATGGGAAAGCACTCGACCCCAAACAATACATATTGATTTCCGGCTGGGACTGGGAATCGGGCGTTTTATTTTTGGAGAAATGGTGGGGGCATGGATAGGGACACCGGGACTGTGGGGGTTTTGCGGGGGAATATATGTATGTATGAGCGCACATTTCAATATACGGACAAACGGCACGGGTTATGAATGATAATACCTACATGGATTCTACTGCCTGTGTGATTACAGTGGACTATAGTAAGTGATTGTGGTTTTGAAGTTGCCCTCGTACACGACTCTCGTATTACAAGACCATTACCATGGGACAAATGAAGCACGTGAGGTCTTTCTCAATCAAGACATACCAATGCTAGGTAGAGCACAATCCCAGTCGCCTCACCACCTACCCGCTGCCTCCTAGAGTATTATACTAACCCCGCAGTACAGTACAAACAACTGTATACCGATATGGTCATGATCGCACTATCCTGTGCGACCTAGGTTGGTCGTTGGCTGCCGTGCCGCTAATGTTGTACAGAAAATAGATTAGTCATCAGGAGCATCACGTGGAGGAGGCCTACTTATGGCCGGTCTTCGGAGTAGATCATCAGACAAGGAATCATCAATCACCCCCATGAATACCAGACCCTTGTAAGAATCGTTACAATGTAAGGTGGGCGTGTGGCAAGCGAATGGGGCATTAGAGCGATTCACCAGGTGTTACACACCTCATTCGACAGTCCTGTATGTAGTTGTAAGACTGTCAGCATCAGACAGTTATCTGTTCAAGGCTAACAGCCAGCCAGATTCCTATTGTAGTTAGAATATAAGTTAGTAATCAACTTGGATAGACGTCATGTAATTGTAAGGCGAATACGGTAGTATAGCAGTATCTACATATGTCGCTCTATATAAGTGATAATGGCCTCGAAGCAGCTCGAATTCCTGGCTTATGAGCCCCAATCCTTACCCCAAAGACATCGCCAATACTTGTAAGGATGCCTCCGTACCTAGATACTCGAAGAACCTGTCTCAGAACTGTTACGGTCACTACAAACATGGAATCCGACTCGGTGGGGTTTCGAACCAGTAGAGGATCATATAGCGAGTTACACTATAGTGGGGGACGGTAAGTGTATAGGGTTCAGGGCCGATGTAGACCTGTTGCGGTGGAAGGTTCAGGGCTAGGGTTGGGATAACCGAGTCGGGCCCGTTTCGGGAGTTAAGGAAACAGACTCAACGGGGTTCCCCCTTCATCTTTTTTGTATCCTTCGTAGTAGACCTATAGGATAGAATACAGCATCACCTCCGACTCGCACTCCCATATGCACCTACGGAGAGCCGTATTCCCTGTGTCCTTACAATACTCTACCTTCGAAGAAGATGGCAGAGCAAGCCCTGCTCTGCCTATCCAGCCTACGATTGAGGGGCAAATCGAAGCTGAAACACCAGAAGTATCGCAGCTCTCAACCCAGCAGTGTATAGAAAGCTGCGATCCTCAAGGCTCTCCGACTAAGATGGCCCCTTTGACGAAGGCTGAAGTGCTGGTCCTATTCCGGCTTGCAAATCGAAATGCTGAAGCGTATCGACCAGGTAGCAAGACTGAGTTTTGGTCCCATCTTCGAGAGGACTTTGCGAAGGAAACCGGCAAGCAGCATAAGAGCCTTCACCGAGTATTACGCCGGGAAACTGAAAGGAGGAGGGCATACCTTGACATCTTGGGACTGGTCAGACAGACAGCAAGAGCCAATTGACTGTCCAGATTGATAACTGGATTGACGTTGTTGGTGAGGAGGAGCGACTTAATAAGGAGTGAAGTGAGGCAGCAATGTTCTCACTTCGTCACAGCGGGCGCAGGATATCCGGGACTCACTCTCTGTAGCCCTTGCGGCAAAGAGGAAATACCAGAGGAATCCTCCAAAAAGTCGTGATAAGTCTATTGGCCAAAGAGCGCGGGAGCCCTCAGGCTTTGACGTAGACGACGATGAAGAGCTACAAAGTGATAACTGTGAGGACATCAGCTCTATCAACTGCCTCCTTTTGAAACCTCAACGCCAGTTTATCAAAGCACTTCTTTGTCATACTGACATTCGTTGCACTCAGTTTGCTATCAAACTCAAGAGCAAACTTGGAAATCTCCTCCTCAAACCTACAAGTCACTATACATATTTTGGCTTATCACACCAACAACAAGAGCAATACTACTCAACGATTGCTACAACCATCTATGATTCATTACACGTCATCGCTCCTTAGTTACTGGGCCGATATTACCACATAGCATATCTCTACAACCCTCTATGATTCATTATGTCACGGTTCACCAAGGCATAGGGCGCCAGTTGGGTATTATGAATTAAACTCAATCTAGAGAAGAAAGGAAAGAGAAGAGGAGCACTCGAGCAGTGGCTTGATCTATATACAGCTATTGTGGAGTGAATTCTCTTTAGCGAGACCAGTTCTGATAATTCACTCCACAACTGAAAACTTCGCTCCAACCCCGGAAAGCTCCCCACACCCCTGAACCCCCACTCGAGCTGCAAGGCGCACTTGATATCGTAACACATTACATGACATCACTCATACTACCACATGACATATCTCTACCAACTAGAGGCCTAGGAGCATGAACGATAGCTCTAAAAGCTCCTACGAACCTCTATGATTCATTACACGTCATCGCTCTTTAGTTACCCACAAGATTGGTTAAGTTATGACATAATTTGTCTATGACATAATTTGTCTATAGGGGTACTCTGACCTTGGACCTCCTTTTACTTCCTATAGGCTACGAACCTAAGAGATGGTTCTATGGGATTCTCTTACGTTGACTACAGTTACCAAGCCTGGTAAGTCATGGAAAGTCTTGGAAAATGAGAGAACTACACTCCTTTAGCATAAATAGGATTGCCCTTTCCTTAAGAAAGGGCAAGCAGACAATACAGTAAATCGACTATCACATACTTCCACGTCTTTTCCAAGCTTCCAAGCATTGATCTTGTTACTCCTTGTTTCTGAAAAGTCAGTGAGGTGCTAACCTCTGACTTATCCCTGAGTTCTCAGACTCAACATTTGTTACAACTTGTCTAAACCACTCCACTACATCATACACCTGATTGCTGCGTTGTGGAATAGTCTAAGCTACGACCCTTTGGCTCTTTTTCTAAGACAGTGTGTTGTCTTAGTAAAATCATCCCTTCCTTGGGTGGCTAGATTCTCACATCTGGTGCACCCACCATTACATGTTGCCTGCCAGAGGGACTGGGAGGTATTTTGGAAGAAGTATGGCAAATTCTCATCTATAACGAGGCTCTATAGTACTCTCCGGGGGGAGCGTATAGCAGCTGATAAAGAAGATACAGACTTAGCAAGGCAAGAGGTTGATTTTATAGCTACTTATATGCATCGTGGGGCACGAGGGAAAAGAGCAGTACTTATGAAGAAGGACATTGATATTGCTCGTTTATGGCAAGAAAACAATAATAGAAGTGTACAGTGGTGGCATACCTTCTAGTATAGTAGACTATAGGCTATATAGAGCAATTTACTTCTGAAAAATGATGTTTATATAGGCTATATATCAAAATTCTCGTTGGAAATGAGGAATCACCTGCGCATGCGCAGGTGATTTTTCACTAGTTTGCCGAATTCACAGGTGAAAAAATACGATGCGCAATGCGCAAGTGATTTCTCCAAAAACTCAAATTTTCCCTCGCCTACGGCGACCCCATTTTATCGTAAAAAAAGTTGACGACGTAGGCGTAGTGCACGTATATTACTATATAAGACGTTAATTTACGAGAAAGCTCGTCATTACCCTATACTATATCTCCAAAACTCGGTGGGAACGAGCCTTCTGACGCGTCGCGAGCGCGTTGATGGGGTGGCTACAGGGGGGTTGGGGCCGGCCCACTTGGTGGCTCCTTGGCAGCCAAACCCAAAGGGGTGCGCATCGTAACTAGTGAAAAATCACCTGCGCAGGTGATTTTTCACTAGTTTGCCGAATTCACTTGTGATGTACGTTATAAGTTATGAATCTATTGCAATTTAATATTCCAGCAAAAAAATACATGCCGCCAAATCTACGCTATGAACAACACAACAAAGTTCATCTATAATCCCACTCCCCTCAAATCCCCTCCCCTCAAACCGACACCTTCCCCTCCCCCTCTCCAATCCACGCCCTCTCCCCAAACTTCCACACCTCATCCACCACCAACTGCACCCCTCCCTCCCCACCAACCTCACTAAACACCACCAAATCCGCATCCGCCCCAACCACCAAGCTCCCCTTCACCCCCTCCATCCCCAGCACCCTCGCCGGCGTATCCGTCACAGTCTTCAGCGCCAGCGGCACACTGGCCCCCGTCCACGCCAGGAAGTTATTAACGCACTCCACGAGCGAGATCGCGGAGCCGGCGAGCTTATCGCTGCCCTCGAGCGTCAAGCGCGGGCCCGTCTTGACGATGCGTTCGCGTCCCGAAGAGCCCCAGGTGTACATCCCGTCCGGCAGGCCGACGAGGTGCATAGCGTCCGTGACGAGAATGCAGCCATCCGGGTGAGCACTCCAAGCGATCTTGACAGTCGTCGGGTGCAAATGCAGACCATCGACAATCAGGCCAAAGAACGGGCGGAAGTCGGTGCTGGAGCTGTAGGCTGATGAGGTGCTGGTTGGGCGGTTGGTTGGGGGCGTGGTGCGCGGGGCGGTCACTCCCGTGCAGCCGAGGACGCCGAAGATGCCGGGGTCGCGGTGGTGGAGGGGGCGCATGGCGTTGAAGAGGTGGGTGATCATGGTAGCGCCAGAGGCGACGGCGGCGCTGGCTTGCTCGTAGGTTGCCTCTGAGTGACCGATTGAGTAGACGATGCCGCGGGAGATGATCTCGGGGATGGCCTGCTGGACGCCCTCTTCAGGGGCGGCGGTGAGCATCTTGGCATTGTTGAGGTTGTCGCTGCCATAGCAGGCGACGAGGTCTGAGAAGCCGTTCGGGGCCGAGATGAGGACTTCGGTGTTGTGGATGCCGTTCTTGGTGTGGGAGAGGAACGGGCCTTCGATGTGAGCGCCGAGAGACTCGGAGCCGTCGGTCGAGTCGCGCGCGCTGCCTGATGGACCGAGGTAGGGTAGTAACTGTCGTTATCAGTATCACATATGGACACAGGAGTTGTAAATTATTCAAACCTTATGGTAGATCTCGCTCTTCTGGCTTGTCATCGTCGGCAAGTAGCTCGTCACGCCCGTCGATATTAATTGCCGATTCACCTCCTTCAACTTCTTAGGAAAGCTGCCCTCTTCCTCTGGGACATCCGAGAAGTTAATTCCGAACGCGCCATTTAATTGGACATCAATCATGCCAGGAGAGAGGATGCGGTTGCCCAGATCAACGACAACATCAGGGAGGCGCTGCTCGGTATAGAAGACATCCTGTCCATCAAGAATCTTCCCCGTGAGCGACGACACCCAGAGGTCTGCCCGAACGAGGGAGTTGTGGCGGAGGAGGCGGCAGTTGGTGAACCTGGTGATAATGTCTCGAGGAGCCCTTGCATTGGTTGAGCTAGGCATGTTGAATGAGGAAGGAATGAGCATCGGCCCAGCGGTAGGATGGAAATGAGATGAAAGAGCGGACCTATCGCCGTCGTAATTGAAGCGATGAGAAGTATATTACCTACATCGTGAATAACAATGAAATAAAGAAATGGACCTGGCCTAGCTACGATACCATTGAAGTATCAGATAGTGGATGGTTAGATCCAGAGGTGACTTGATGGTTGCGATGAATAATTGGGGTAAGTAGATGTGCTCCAGGCCGGTGTAACGTTGCCGAGTACGAGACCGACACCACCAAAATGTTTTTGGTGGGGTCCCGAGATGCAACCAACAACGTCCCCAAACTTGGCGAGACCCAATTGACCCATACAGTATGTAACGCCAACGTGATTGCCACCATAACATGGTAAAAAAATGAAGAGATTTTCTATTTTGTAGGTTAGAAGAATCAAAGCACTAGACATAGAATAATAGGCATGTGTCCGTGTTCTGAAATATATAATATGGATTTCAGGGTACAGTACAACATATATGACAATATGTGGGGTATCTCTCCAATCCTGACGATCATCGAGCCTCAACACAAAAATGGTAAAAGACCGGCTCGCATAGTGCACAGCCAGCCCTAGAACCAGTGCCTGCCTCCATATCCCCTCCTGGCATAGTTTAAACGCCCCCTCCACGTTTTGTCGAGCCGGACCAACGGGACTTTCCCCTGCGACGTAGCGTTGTTGCAAGTTGAATATTACCGGAGCTATGGGAGCACCCTTACTCCCTGAGACTAGGAACTAGACCGATTATACTGCCCATTGGCCCAAGCCATGCAACTGTGTGATGCAAGCACAGAGCCCCCCTGAACGAGATACTGGGTCTGGATACTTTCAGTCGTTCATGGCGGAGAAGTACCGCTTCGGTTTGGATCGCACTTCCTGGGCTTTGACTTCCGGCGCTCTCAAATGGTGGACGACATGCGGCCGATAGATGGCATCAACAGGTTGCATCCAATCATCCAAGCTGAGGGGAAAGTACTCGTATAGCTGGTCGAGCTTCTCGAGAGGGCTCGCAGCCAACGGTCTTGTTGGGATAGAATCCGTTGGGGGAGAGGCAGACGTATCTGAAATTACAGTATGGACATCGTCATCTGAAACTGACAGCCCTATAGGAGTTTTCTGTGCAGGGAGAGCGCGGAACTCCTCTTTAATCTCCGTATGATGCCAGTCCGTGGTCGGAACAGGTGGCCGGCGTTTTGCTGTAACTGGGGATCCGGACGCTAGTCTTTTCGCACGAGGTTCGACAGGACCTGGGGAAGGCGGAGTCGGATGAGGCCATGATAACACCTGATCCAATGGCGGTTGCTATATTACAGTTAGCATAAGCAGATGATTGGCCAATTCCCCTTATTGATAGATTGTTCCAGATGGCGCGAGGGGCGTGCTTACAATATACGACTTCTGTGGATAGTACTTGTTAGATGCCTGGGATAATGCCGGCTCGATCCATTGTGGGGTAGCTGCCGCTACACTCCCCGCGCTTCTCATGCGGTTCATTGGATCTGACTGTTTTCGCTCGCTGAGAGGCACATCTTTGCTGCTGTCAAAGTTCTTAGGGCTCCGCCCTCTGACGACAATTGGATTGGACTGGATCTCTGCGATCTTGATCAGCTGGCCGTCGCCTTCTGTCTTGGCCATTAATGTAATCTGGATTTGATAATGTTGTTGTAGGCCCTTCCGTCGGCCATTGTTTGCCGTAGCGTACTTGAATTGCAGTCTTCGCCATGCTATCGGGATATTGACGTATATGGGATCGGCTTCCTGATTTGACGACAAGTCTATCGGGATGTTCGCTGGTGCTGTCCCGGCCTTATCTTCCGATCCGGAGCTATTCGCAACCGCCGCCTTCCATGGCACTGATATAATTTCTGTTGGTTTTCCCTCGATCGACTCGGTGGCGGATAGCACCGCGACAAGGTCTTGAATTGGCACTTGTCCTCCTTGCTCCATGAGTGCCTCCGCCATAGTCCGGGATAGAATAATGGCTCCCGATATTTGAAACAGATTCCGTCGGTAGCATGTCAGCTCCAGCGGCCTCTCGACCGTCTCTCCTTCGAACACGTCCTCTGCAATAGAGAACATGCCATTCAGTTCCGCAGCTAAGCGAGGCCATGTTTGTCCTCCGCTGTCGAGAACCTGGGTCAAGTGTATAGGCGCACCAAAGCCCAAGAGCTTGTTGTCGAGATTCGCGGGTGAAAATTCGGGCACAGCAGCTCCTGGGTCGAGAAGGTTGTCGAAGTAGCCGCCGTTGTTATATGCCAGCGAGTCGTCAAAGCCTGGTACGAAGTCGTAGTTGTGGTTCGGAGTGAAGACGGGAAGGGACGACAAGTCCACGTTCAGGTCGTTGCTGCCACAAAAGTAAGTCCGCATGCTTCGACCGAGGTCATCAACGTACAACATAGCTTCCCCGGAGAAGTCTGACGCCTGGCTGTATGCCTCGGAATTGTCGCCGGCTCCCTGAGAGAGATGCATGACATCAACCACGGACTGCGACGACATGCTCAACCCATCGTAGCCTGCCATCTCACCATCGCTCGGTAATCTAGCATGCGATCGCAGTAGTTGGGTAGAGGAGTATATAATTGCTGTGGTTGAGGAAAGAATATTGTGGTGGATTTGTTGTTGATGAAGGTCTCATGGCTCTCGGTGCTGCGGGGATACCAAGAAGTGGTTGTGGTTTGTGGTTTGTGGTTGGGGATGCTTGGTAGTCGAGTACTTGTGGTGTACTTGGTCCGTGTCTCTCCATTTCCCCAGGTTATACTAGCATCTTAGCACTTGACTGGCCTTGTTTGGCACTGGATGAGCGGTGGATTAGTAGTGGATTGGTACTCTGTTAGTACCTTATTAGCAGCTAATTAGTAGCTCATTAGTGGTCGAGTTAGCGTGTACACCCCTGTGGTAACCCTGTGATATCCTTGTGACAAACCACTACACGCCCCTCCACCTCCTACACCACTTTTCTCCACTCAACCACAGGCCACGATAACCACGAAACCACCAAACTCTCTGTGGAACAAAACAAATTCAGGCATCTCCAACCCCCCCCATCTTGAGCCTCAATCGGGTCAAAATCATCGCCATTTATTCGCTATACTACCCTATACTACCCTATACTACCTATACCACCTATATTTACGGTCACGATGATTTATTATACCATTTAGCCTTATATCACTACTGATCTCGTGCGCCTCTCAGCCCGTGAGCCTATGTTCTCGCCTTGGTGATCTCTCATGGCTGGCGGCGACAGCTACCCCACCCGACTTTAATATATAACGAGACAACCAATTGATACCACGCAACAATGGCCGCTTTCCAGGAGGATTTGGACCCAATATGGGACGACATGGACCGGTGAGTTGTTCTACTGAGACTATTCATCGTGTATGCGGAACTGACGACCGCAGGGCTATGGGCCAGCTGTTCATGATGGGATGGGAAGGCGAGGAAGTCACGCCCCAGATCCGATCCCTCATCGCAGATTATGGCCTCGGATCTGTCATCCTGACTGCAAAGAACCTCAAATGTAGGCTGAATCTCTTTTTCTTTTCCAAATACTGGCCTTTTTTCATTGTCACACCACTAACACTGCCCAGCTGCGGCGGACACGGCGAGACTCGCCCAGGAGCTCCAAATAATTGCCCGAGATGCTGGCCACCCCGTTCCACTGATTATTGCTCTTGACCAGGAAAACGGAGGTGTCAATAGCTTGTACGACGAAGAGTACATATGCCAGTACCCGAGCGCTATGGGTGTCGCAGCTGCGGGATCCCCAGACTTGGCATACGAGGTAGCAAATGCCACTGCTCTGGAAGTGTCGTCAGTGGGAGTCAACATGATCCTTGGTCCTGTTCTAGATGTGCTAAATAATGCTCAAATACAGCCGCTTGGCGTGAGGGCTGCAGGTGATGACCCTCATGAAGCCTCTCAATATGGTATCGCGTCTATGAACGGATACAAAGATGCGGGTTTGACGACCTGTGGGAAGCATTTCCCTTCATACGGAAACCTCACGTTTCTCGGATCTACTTTGGATATGCCAATCATTACGGAAACTCTGGAACAACTTAGCCTGGGTGCTTTGGTGCCATTCCGCAACGCAATCAATGCAGGCCTCGACGCAATCATGGTCGGCGGCTGTGCTATCAATAATAAAGACATGAATATCATGCATGCCTGCCTCTCAAAAGAGGTTGTAGATGACCTACTACGGCGGGATTTGGGATTTAACGGAGTTGTCGTGTCCGAGTGCTTGGAAATGGAGGCGTTAAACGTTGATATCGGCTTCCGAGGAGGCTGTGTTATGGCTATAGAAGCTGGTTGTGACCTTGTCTTGCTTTGCCGCTCATTTTCCGTCCAAAAAGAAGCATTGTCAGGACTGAAAATCGGACTCGAAAATGGTATGGTCTCAGTTGACCGAGTGCGAACATCATTACGCCGGGTCCTGAAACTAAAGGCTAGCTGCACATCTTGGGAAAAGGCCCTTAATCCACCGGGTATGAAGCTCCTATCGAAATTCCACGAGTCTCATCTTGCTCTGTCAACAAGAGCATATGACAACTCGATAACGGTCATGCGCGACAACAACCAACTCCTACCGCTCTCTCATACTGTGTCTGAGAGTGAGGATCTCCTTCTCCTTACCCCGCTTCTGAAGCCCTTACCAGCGTCTGCTGCTACAAAGTTCCTCTCTGAGGGCAAAGCTACAGCCATCGACCACGATCGCTGGATGGATCGCGGATCTATCATGTCTGGCGAGGGTGTTTTCAGAGAGCTCGGCAGACAGCTGGCGCGCCAACGGCGCGGAAAGCTCCTTCATACCTCATACACCGCCAACGGAGTGAGACCTACACACGAACACCTTATAGAGCGAGCATCCTCGATTATTGTCGTGACTGCGGATGCAACTCGAAACTTATATCAGTCAGGTTTTACGAAGCACGTCTCAATGATGTGCTCGTTACCAACCCCGACAGGGAAGAAGAAATCCCTCATTGTTGTATCGGTCTCCTCTCCGTACGATTTCGCCCGAGATAAGAGTATTGGGACGTACATTTGCACTTACGACTTTACTGAAACTGCCATGGAAGCCCTGGTTCGCGTCCTATTTGGACAGCTGAGGCCTCAAGGAAGTCTCCCAGGATCGTTGCGGAAAGTTGCAAAGGCCCAAAAATCCCGGCAAGCGTGGCTGGTGGAGTCCTATTCCGAGAAAGACGTCAACTCTCTCAACAGCTTGATACAGACCGTATCCAAAGCCTCAGTCCCCGGCTCCCCGTCACCCCTCTGGGGTGCCACCGCCCTATCCTTCTCTCTCGGCGACCCCGCTATAGCAGAAGCTCACTTCGTCGTCCGCAACTCCAGCACCGGCGCCCTCTACGGCTTCTGTGCCACCTACGCCACCGCTACCATCGGCCACATTGGCGCCCTATTCGTCGACCCAGGGAAGCGCAGCCTCTCGATCGGGCACTCCCTATACCAACGCGCTCTCCGATCCCTCACTACCCGTCCCGGTCTCCAGAGTATCAAGGTCGGTACGCGCATCCCTGCCATCTATCCCGGCGTACCGAGCACGGAGGGCTCCATCCCCCGACTGCGGAGATGGCTGGGCGCGTCACTCCCAGCCGCGGCGACGGTGTCCTCCCACCAGTTCGCGAGCTGCATTATTCAGGACCTGCATCACTGGGCGCCGCCGGAGCAAGTCGTAAAAGCGGCACAGCGCTTACACGTTGATTTCGATCTAATCCACGGCCTCGGCGCGTTTGATGATGAGGTCGCGGCGCATATCTCTATGTTTGGCAGCTGGGAGCAGTATAAACTGTATACGCTTGCGCTAGCCGATGCGGAGGCGTGCGGGGTAGTGAGGGCGAAGAGCAGGGCTGATGGACGGCTTGTTGGAACGGTTGTGTTGTGTCGATCGAGCACGCTGCTGTCGCGGTGGCATCCGCATCTTGTTGGAGGGAGGTCAGGGGGCGTGCTATCGCCGATTGTGAGGGCGGGATACGAGGAGGATGGGGCGTTGCTGCAGGGGCTGTTGCTGTTGGGGGTGAGGCAGAATAAGGCCCACAGGGCTTGGACGTCGTATTTGGATTTGGTGAGTTTGAATCCCTTGCTGGTTGTGGGAGTGAGTGCTAACGTTGAAAATAGGTGCCTACTCAATTACTAGAGACGATTGCGCCCTTGGGGTTCAAGGTATTGAATTCGTTTACGGATCTTGGCTGTGAATTGCTGCAGCGAGGATGATATGTATTTGGGTTGGAAATATGATCAAAATTAAACAAAATTAACTGTATTTGCAAATCTCTTCCGGCCTATCTTCGTGAATTGGTTTTGTGGATTTCTAACAACAGTTGGGCCCCTTTAGGATATGAAACATACTTGGTTGAGAGAACTGCATTGGGAGCAATACAAACCGAGAAAGGAAGCAGTGGGCTAGAAACTGATAAAACCCAGCGGGGTCATGTATATGTCAAACCGTAGGCTCCGGCGACACAGAAATGTAATTGTAATTTCCAAAAATATTTAATCAAGAGGTTGATCTATACACCGAGCAGCCGGACTCATCGGCCTGGACGTGGTAATGTCAAAACCGATGTCAACATTGTGAGTGTTATACGCTCCCATACAAAATACAAAATAGAATTTGAACATAGCGGTGGGGCCATCCCCACCGCTATGTTCAAATTCTATTTTGTCCTTGACCATCGTCCTTCTCGTATTATCATCAATTCCAGCACCTAGGTATAAATACCCTTCTTTCCTATTTGAACCTTTGTCTTCCTTCATCGCCATTAAGACCAGTTTTCTTGCAAAAGCAGCTAATTACCTCCAGCCCCACGGTATCATTACCACCGTCGCTGATTCCTGTCACCCCCCAACCTACCACCACCGATATATATTACTACCGTCACCATTGATTCCTGCTGCCGTTATCATGCTACCCATCTCTCATATAACCCATCATTCTTCCGCTCGTTAAATAGTAAACCAGTTTCTCTCTGCAACCACCGCTCAGTCTTACCGGCACACCGAGCCTCAAGGTTACCCTCGGTCCTGCATTATAGTACACTGAGTGAGGTAAGTCTTGCAGGCCTCTTATATCAAAATTTCGTACCATCCAATCACTCTTCTCGCAAAATTCTCCCTTACTCCCCCATCCCTTTGCACCCGCAAGATCAGCATCACTGCTGACCTCAACGCGAATAAACTTGGCGACATCGTGTTCGAGATTGACCTGCTTGGCAAGGCTCAGAGATGGCGGAGGTGACCATGCGTTCGCACAGCCTCTCTTTTATCCTCGACTCGTTCGGTGACCGCGTCAACCTTGCAATAGACCTGCTCGAAACTACCATCGAGATGACACAGCGTGCCAGTATCGACGAGAGCTGGACGATGCAACAGCAAGCGTGGCATCACTCATGGCTGTAGTCCTCCCTGGCCCTGTGGTTGCTGATTCTTGTCACCACTCTCCTTGCCAGCGCCACCGCTCTCCTGTCGCCGTTCCAACACCCACCACTCGTAAAATTCATCCTCTTCCAAAAAATATCATACTTCCAACGGTATTTGTCTATCAAGCGGACACACTGGTCAGCATGTGACAACGCAACGGCAAGCGTACGTACGCGGCCACGAAACTTTTCGCTCCTGTGCATTAGTAAGAAGTGGAGAGTCTCAGGTGCTGTTATACTAAAGTTCAAAAATAGAAGCTGACCCCCGCACCCCTTGCCTAAGTGTGGAAAC